TACATATATAAGGTGATCATAATACAGATGTCTGATTGGCCGATTAGAGCCTAGTTAGTCACGATGACGGGAGCGAGCATGCAGATCAAACGAATATGACAAGGCTTATGATAGTCGTGGGTGGGGTGAGAGCACAAGGCAAAATGGGCAAATGTTCGAGAGATGAGCAGATTAAATGAAGGTTGTGGGCTAAAACGAGAGAGCGGGATGAAGTTTCTATCGTATATTACGTAACTTCATCCCGCTCTCTCGTTTTAGCCCACAACCTTCATTTAATCTGCTCATCTCTCTAACGTTTGTCGATTTGACCTTGTGTTCCAATCAGACACCTGTTATATGATTACCTTATATATGTAAACGCCTGATGCGATAGGTTGAAATGAAATTTCTTCGCGAATACCGTTTTCTACATGGTCTACGTGATTTTCATTTTTAACAATACCCAGGCAATCCACTCTGTTTTGAACATTTTGGTGATGGGAGTATCCATATATAGCATTCGCTTTACACCATCCAAGTGCAAAGTGCTTGCACAAGACTGGCTGCACTTACCGTTTGTGGTGATCATCTAGATGGAACCTTAGATACCCTGGGACCTGGAGATGAAATCAAATCAGCCTGGAACACATATGGCGTTGCCATGACATCCGACTTCCCCTTGGGGGACGGATGTACATTGCTGTGGTTCGCTGTGTTTTGCTTTACGATCGCGATACATGGCTTCTGCGCGCTGAGAATGCTAATCCACTTGTTGTGTTTGGCCACCGAAGTTCTTGCGGCATTTCTCGTATCTGACGGGATCACCAGGTAAGCAACGACGAGGTTTTTCGTCGTATGTGCTGTGTGCCGCTGGTCGTTCTATAAAAGAGCCCACTGTAAAGCACCTGCGATGATTTGGTCACGTTTTACTTAGGTCTGCTCATAGTCTACCTCTTTGTACTCTCTTTAAACTTTCGTCACAAAGTTGGAAGAAGCTTCGCGGCGGTTAGACCATGACCTTGCATTGGAACAGGGAAATCCTTACTTCTTTACTACTATTGCGGTTGATCTACTCCACCTTCCAGCTTGTGACCCCGGGGATAAGGTTGACAGTTTGCTAGAGAAGCTCAGAAATAGGTTAGCGAATGGACTTCAGTGGCACGAATGGCAAATACTCATTGAAATCCCATGCTGCATATAAGATGAAACAAACAGATCGGAAAGATCGAAAGGATGATTTAAAGCAGAAATTCACGGCTGACTTCCGGGCTCAGGGGGAGTAAGTGGATGGAACACGTGACTTCTGTCTCATGTCATCAAATATTTAATTGAAAGGAACTGATCGACACGAGCTTACATTTCCCCAATGCACTGTTGAAAAGTGTCACAAGGTAAGAAGGAATAACTTAGAGGTGTAATATTTTGATGCTTTACAGCACGATTGAACGTTAATATAGACTGTAATCATCAATTAGTCCTCACAACGTTTAAAACGAACGCATCCTGCTTAGATCGCTAAGGCGCACACAAGATAGAATAGAAATGGTGAACAACAATCCGAGTACGTTGTCTAATCATGTGACATGTGTATATAAAACACGAGAAGGGTACAACGATTGAATAGGTTGATCGGACAACCGATGCCTGGTTTGTTCTACTGTCGTCTGATCGGGTTTTAACTTGCCGTGGGTGTCACAAAGGGCTTGTATCTTAGTGTAGTTCCATGCGCTGCCTGAAGGGTTCTCCACGCCTCTTTCTAACTAAAACGGAAATAGTGTTATTGTCTGAATTACTATATCTTGGAAACATGACGACTGTTTTCGGCCTGTGTTATTTGCAGGCAAGAACAACTGCTTGATGGAGTGACATTACACCGATGAAAGGCAAACATTTAAAACTACTGTCGTCTTATTCGCATCAGTCATAAAAATAGCTCACAAGGAGGGGTGGGATTAGCTATGTAGATTTACGATGTGTTCATTTCGTACCTTTTTATTTTCATCTCGAAGCCGATGTAAATTGGAGTGCTGTCAAATCGCGATATCAGCTCAGATGAATGCTAGAAAGTGAAAACTGAATCTAGTCGTGGTTTGAGAACATCCAGGGGATAGATCTGGATCGAGCGACGGAATTCTGTCCAGGGAATGAAGGAAGAACACAGTTTTGTAATTAGAATGCCCATGGGATTAAGGAAAACAAGGCCGGTAACTGTAAAGCAGCGATCGAGATTGATGAGAACATTTTCATTGGACCGGGTTTAACGACAAGAAAACATTACATAACGGGAAAAATACACTGATGAACAGAAAGAAGAAATAATCCAATGATTCACTTGAAACTATCGCAGCTTCTGTTTGTGACAGGCGGCTAAGCGACGTGGTTTATCGACACAGTTTTGACAAACTGCCAGCCACTATTGCCATGTCA